TGTTCAAACACAAGGTGGTTTGACCAAGTATTTTCCTATTTCAATTGGGTTACATCAAGGATCAGCCTTAAGGCCATATCTTTTTGCTTTAGTCATGGATGTTCTCATTAGACATTTGCAAGAGGATGTACCTTGGTGTATGCTTTTTGCTAATGATATTCTTCTTGTTGATACTAGAGAGGGAGTTGAAGGCAAACTTGAATTATGGAGGCCAACCTTAGAGTCTAAAGGTTTTCGCTTGAGTAGATCTAAAACGGAATATATGGAGTGTAATTTTAGTAGTAATAGACCTTGTGAGGGGATTGTGACTTTGGGCGATCAAGTCATTAATAAGAGTACACGTTTTAGATATCTTTGATCTATTGTTCAGAGTAATGGTGAAATAGATGGGAATATTATCAGCAGAATTCAAGTTGGTTGGTTGAAGTGAAGGAATGTATCGGGCTTGCTGTGTGATAGAAAAGTACCCCTCAAACTTAAGGGAAAATTTTATAAGATGGTGGTGAGGCTTGCAATGCTTTATGGTGCCGAATGTTGGCCATTAAAAGAGAAGCATAATACTAAGTTAAGTGTGGCAGATATGAGGATGCTCAGTTGGATGAGTGTCTTTTACCCTTAGAGATAGGATAGTAGGATACGAAATGAGCATATACATAAAAATGTTGGAGTAGCTCCAGAAGATAATATTAGAGAGAGTCGCCTTAGATGATTTGGTCACATAAAACGGCGGCCTTCCAATGACCCGGTTAGGAGAGTAGAGGTATTAGATTTGACTTATGTTAAGAAAGGTAGAAGCAGACCTAAAAAGACTTGGTTAGAAAATATTAGGATTGACCTCTCTTTATTAGATTTAAACAAGAATTTGACTTTTAATAGGACACAATGGAGGAAAAGGATTCATATAGCCGACCCCACGTAGTGGGATAAAGGCTTGATGTTGTTGTTGTTGTAAAATTATTATGACCTTGCCTAAAAACTTGGATTATCAAGATAGGAACAAATGGTCAGATGGAATTTTTAAATTTCTTTTACAATTGTTCATACATTTTCTCCTTTTTACCTAATATATTGAAAGAGTTATTAAATTAGAAATTCTCTTTAAACCAAAAATATAATAATTCTAAAGTGAATATCTTGCTCTTATAGTGCTGTCTGCGATATACTGATTCTCTTCTTCAACTCATTATTTTTTAATATTTTATCATTCTAATATTAATTAAAATAATAATGAGTTATTTACATACTCAGTGGATACAAAATATCTCGTCCACTCACTCATATATCATCCTTTCACTAGACTCAAGGTCTTTTTATGTCCCTGCTGAGTGAAAGCACAGAAATGTGGTAGAACATTCTGTTTTGATTGATTTTATATTCTAGCTTAAGCAAATGATAGAAAGCTGAAGTTTTCGATTCTCTTACTTAATAAAATTCTCTTGTGAAGGAGCTCCATTCAATTTTACTTATTCTAAAACCTTTTGACCAAGTATAGGGCAATATCTTGCTTAATAGGGTCTCCTTTTTGCTAAGAGATGAGCATTGATGTTTATCCTGCTATATGTAGTTTATGTATCAGGACACTTGGTTATAAAACTGGTATCAAACGCTTGAGACAATGGGCATATATGTTCATCTCATGGTAGAAAATTGCATGGGTAATGCTAGTGCTTTAGCATGTTAATCCATATTTTTTATCTTTTCTTAAATCTTGACTTGCCAACTCCATTTGTGAACCATCGATCATAAAGAAGAATGTTGCTTCCTAATGTTCTTGGCTTTTTTATCAACTATATTAATGTAAAGTTTTCTGACAGCATTGTTAGCAGTACAACTTATTGTGCTTTCAACCCTTTTGAAGCATTAAAGATTAAAATCAATTACTTTTAGCAGATGAAGCCCTTAGTATGTCTATATTGGTAAATTGTAGTTGCTTCCTTGAAGATTTGTCACAATCAACTTTTGGTAATTCTTTTTCATAATTATTTTTAATCCTTCTTGATACAATGTTATTTCTAATTTACTTTAATCGTCTTGCACTACTTTAAGTCATATTATTTTTATCTGATTATTTTCTTCGTATTACTTTCAACTTAATTTTTCACCCCGCACATTGGAGCATATTAGTTCTTGCATCTTATGCCCTATGCTCTCTGTCCCTAACCACTTAAAAGTGTAATTTCCTGCAATTTTATCTTAAATAGGTGACACTTGCATAATCTTTAATGCAATCATTCAACAATATGTCCTTCTGAGTTCTGTCATAAACCCATCATAA